CGGCGGGCAGGGGCCTGCCGGGCTCGCACGGAGGGGCGTGGCTGCATCGGGCGGGGGCGGGGGCGGCCCGAAGGGCGGGGTCTGCTTGGCCTATCGGGCCTTGATCTCCAGAGTGCCGGGCCACCTCGGGCGGAGGCGTGGCCGGGCCAGGGCGGGGCCTCCTCCCTAGGCCGGGCCTAGGCTTAGCCTAGGTGGGCGGCGCTTGATTAGGGCTCTTCGGGAAGGGCGAGCGGGACCCCTGGGGGCGTGGACGTGTTGGGCGGGGCCTCCTGGTGGGGGGACTGTTTCTGGGCAGGGCCTACTGGTGGGCAAGCAGTTCCTGGGCGGGGCCTGCTGGTGGGCTGTTTCTGGGCGGGGAGTTCGGAAGTCCGAAGTCCGAAGGAGGTGGTGTTGCTCTTTGACCTCTGGGGGACCGGGTTGCACTACCGTACCCATTCAATCTGGGTTTTTTAAGGTGGTGTGGCGCCCAGTGTCCCCGACTGGGCCGAGGCCAGGCTGAGCTCCGCAGCTTGTACGGCTACGACCGCGGGGCTTCACTTGTGGCCAGGTGCGCCGGTTCAGGATCACCGACTTGCGGTGGCATCGGGACTGCGGGGACTCAAGGTCTGCTCGGACAGGTATTTATGACTCGTCTAAGCTATTCGGCAGATTAAGCTTGAGGGTGATAACGTCAGAAGACCTGAATGTTCACGTTTTACTTCCGGACAGGAATCGCGCGGCTGTTGGTTTTGGCAGCCCCCACCCTCGTTTTCATGTCTGGCAAGTCCTGCCTGCTGCTTTTCTAGGACCATTGTCTTCGCTAAGGCACGTGCGATAGTGTCGGCTTTAACTGCTGGGTTCCTTAGGACCTGGTGAAATGGCCGGTGGCAGACGCACACTTCAATTGTAGGCAGCTTCTGCACGTTTAGCAAGTCTTGCCGGGTAGCCCAGAACTCCTGGAAGAGAGGTAGTGGCAGAAGACCAGGCAGCGCTGTCCCAGCACCAGGCGGTGCCAGGGCGGCGGGGGATGTCTCCCGAGCTGGCGCTGTGCGTGGTACCTCGGCGGAGCGTCCTGCGGGCGCCACACAGTTGCACGGTGTTGGCGGAGCCTATAGAGTGGCAAGTTCCTAGAGGTTCCGTTGGTGGTTTGTGATTGGGGCAGTTTCTAATTGCAATTTGCTACTTTTTTGGTTTGTTCACTAGGAATTTAAAGTTGCAGAGTCTCCTGTACTTCCCTTGGCCTCCCAAGTAGATTTTTTTTTTAATCACTGGCAACTAGAGAAGCTTCACATAAAAGGTGGAAACAGGAGTTTTTTGCTTTTGTTTAGAGCGTTTGCCTTGGGGCCCATGCGTTCACCAGAGAGACAGAGACAGAGACAGAGAGAGAGCAAGTGAGACATCACCCTGGGGGGATGGCCACACCGCAGTCCTTTCTCCTCTGTTCTTCTCTCTGGATTTTGGACACGCACGCAGACGTGCCTGGTGTTATTTTCATGCCACTGGGCCCAGGAGTCAGAGTCAGCCATGTGGGGTCCAGCACGTAACCTTCATGCCAGCTGCCGACCTGAGAATTCATTTTCATTCAAAGAATCTGGGCCTTGGGTCTATGGCGACAACCGACAAGAAAGGCCCAGACTTCAAGTAAGAAATCAGTTTTACTCGGCCCAGAGAGGCCAGTTGCTAGACAGCAGCCAGCAGTCCTGGGTAAGTCGACAGTTTACAGGAGTGGGGTAATTGTAAAGGTAGAAGTCGCAAATATGGTGGGAAAAGAATGGGCTCCCTGCTCAGGTGGTGAGCAAGGGATTGTCCTCAGGAGCTGGGGGCCTGGGAGGGCGGCAGCTCCTGCCTGCTCTGTGCAGGGTGGTGGTGTCCCCAGTCTTCATTCCTGTGAGGAGAACTCAGCGATACAGCCCCAGGGGCTGAGCAGCAGGGCCAGTAGTGCACGTCTGTGTGTGTGCTTGCGCGTGCAGGCACTTTGCGCGTCCGCGTGCTTGCGTGTGCGCACGAGCACTTTGCTCTGGGACACATGGCTTCTCTGAGTGAAGAGAGGGCGAGAGGGAGCAAGAGTGACGGGCACCTCGTGGGGACTGGCCTTGCTGCAATCACTTCTCCACTCTCGTCTTGGGAGTTGGGGCACGCACGCACCACACACATAACCAGCGTGTTTTGCAAACTGCTGGGTCTGGAACTCCAACTGCGTGGTCAGCCATGTGGGATCCAGCCACCTTGAACACTGGGCCACCTAGCTGGCCCTGAATCTGTGTGTGTTCATTTTTTAGAGGTTTTGGCCATAGGGCATGTACACTTGCTGAAGAGAGAGTGACAGAGACAGTGAGAGGAAAAGAGAAATCTCACCCAGGGGGATGCCATGCTGCCGAGAATGAGAGAACGTATGTATGCACAGAGTCCAACCCCAGCTGCAAGAACAGTGTAACCGCTATGCCATCTGCTGGCCCCCGACGCGTGTGTTTTTTAGTTGTCAGAGGACACCCGTGCTTCCCGGATAGAGATGGCGAGATAGAGAGACAGAGAAAGCAAGCACCCCCAGTGGGGCGTGGACACGCCTTAGTCCCGTCTCCATTTCTCCATGCATCAGGACTTGAGGCACACGTGCACATGCACGCGTGGACACCTGGCCACTGGGGCCAGGACTTGAGCTGTGATTGGCCATGTGAGAGCCAGCTCCCTTCCCCCTCCGGCCCTAGACCATGGGCCTCTCCCGCACTTCGGGAGAGGGGGTCAGAGCTGGCCCAGGGACCGAGCAGGCATACCTCCCAGGCAGCACCTCCTGCTTTTCTGGCCTAGCTTCCCTGGGACCAACGCTGGAGGATACAGCTCTTTGGTGACATTTTCATTCATGCGAGGAGGGAGGCTGCTGTCGTTTGGGTAATATCGTCCCAGGTGCATCCCCAAAGCTTGTCCCACTGTGATGGAGCCCAGAGGTGAAGCCCAGCGGGCAGCAACTGGGTCCTGGAGATCTGTGCGCTCTCTCGGGTCCTGGTGCTCCCCGGGTCAGCCCCCTCAAGAGTGGCTTGTCCAGAGGAGAGCAGCCCCTCGCCCTCCGAGAGTGAGCCCTCCCTGTGGCTGGTGCCCCGCCCAGGGGCAGAGGGCGGCCAGCAGAGCAGGTGGCCGGGACAGCCTGGGCACTCATTCAGGGAGGGCGTGGAGGGCAGCAGGGGGCGGGAATGGACAGGTGTGGCAGTGGTCGGAGAGGATGAGAGGACTGCGAGTGGAGGGAGAGGGAAGAAGGTGGAGCCAGCGCGCGGAAGGTTTGGGGGCCAAGGTTTGAGGGCCGTGACCTGTGTGCCAAGAGGGAAGGAGACAAGCTAGGGGTCGTGAGTCCACCTGAGCTGTGGACCAGCTTGCCCTTGCTTGACTGCTCGGTAGGGACTTGAGAAAGCCTCTGGACAGGTTCCGGTTCCGGTAAGCCGCTGGGACACAGCATAGGACAAAGACACTGTCCTTCCTCCGACACAGAGGGGCTGACCAGGCCAGGGCTGCCAGTGCTCCTTACCACTCGCACACGTCCATGGAGCCAGAGGATGCGAGCCCCCACGGGCCCATGTGGCTGGTACACCCTTAGGGAGGCCGGGACACGCTGGCAGAAGCTGCTGCAGGCCCCCGGTCGCCTTCCGGGTAACGTTTCCTAGGTGGCCTCTCCCACCGTCGGAGGAGGAGGAATGAATGTACTGGACACCTGGTCTTCTCTGCATGGTGGGGATGCCGTGAGAAATCACCCCCTGGCATGGCCACACCACTGTCCCTTCTTGTTCTCCCTGGGATGTTGAGTTCACCTCACCTGCGTGCATACTGCTGGATCTGGGACTCGAACCTTGCAGTTGGCCATGTGGGATCCTTTACCACCACACCAGCTGCCCCCTTTTCGTCCTAGTTGTCTCAGGTTGTGTGGTGAGGTTCACGTGGACAGGGGCTAGACCACCCCCGTGGCTATGTGTGGGTCACACCCAGACCTGGTGGCATGTGTGTGGGGGCCCAGAACCCCAGAAGGGGGAGAAATGGAGGAGACTGTGGTGTGACCTTGGCCCAGGAGGGGAGCTTTCTCTTCTCTCTGTCTGTCTCTCTCGGGTCAGCTCATATACCCTCTAGCAAAATTAGTTTCCTTGGTTTTTAAAGAACTTCCAGAGAAGTTTGTGCTGGCGAGAGGGAGGGATGGGGAGGTGCCCTGGTTCTGAGGCTGCAGCTCAGCGGGTCCCAGCCCAGCCTTTGCGGGCCACTTTCTGAGTCCTGAGGAAAAGCTGAGCTTCCTTCTCCAGACTCTGCTCATGGTCCACCCTCTGCAGGCAGTGCTAGCGTGTGCTCCCAGCAGGGCTAGCGTGTGCTCCCGGCAGGGCTAGCGTGTGCTCCCCGC